GCAGCTAGTGAAAAGGTAAGGATCTCTTAAAAACTAGGATGCAGGAAAAAATAATCCATCACCTGCAAGATCATGCAAAGATGAACAATGTGAGACTAATAGGCATCAATGAGAAAGAAGGAGTCAATACAAATGACATTTAAAAAATATGGGCAGAAGTAAAGGCAGAAAACTTCCCAAATATGAGGAAACAATCTGATATTCAGGTAACTGAAGCATACAGAACACCACATAAAGTCAACCCAATTAAAAGCACACCGAGACATATAATAGTCAAGATCCCAGAAATTCAGCACAAGAAAAATATACTGAAAGCCGCTAGAGAAAAGAAGCAAATCACATTCAAAGGAAAACCCATCAGAATTACGGCCAACTTCTCTTCACAAACCCTGAAGGCAAGAAGAGCATGGAGCAGAGTACTTCAAGTCCTCTATGAAAACAAATTCCAGCCGAGATTACTATACCCTGCAAAACTCTCTTTCAAGTTTGGTGGAGAAGTGAAATACTTTCATGAAAAAGAACAGCTAAAGAATTTCATGAGGACACAGCCAAGCCTACACAGGCTGTTCTAGAAAGATTTTCTAGAGAAGGACCAAAATGATCATAACTGCAGATCAGAAGCAACCAACTAAATAGGGCAAGCAATTAAACACAGGAGAAAAAGGAGTAAACAACAACAGGTAAATAACATGTCAATCGTAAGTCAATAAATCTCAATTGTAACCATCAATGTAAATGGACTCAATTCACCAAATAAAAGAAATAGACTGGCACAGTGGATTAGGAAACAAACTCCAACAATATGCTGTATACAGAAAACACATTTAACTCATAAAGACATTCATAGGCTGAAAGTCAAGAGACGAAACACAATACTACATGCCCCAGCACCTCAGAAAAAAGCAGGGGTAGCAATCCTATTCTCAGACAGTCTCAACTTCAAACCACCAATGATCAAGCGAAATAAAGAAGGTCACTATATACTGGTTAGGGGAAAAATTCAAGAAGAAGTAACACTCATAAATACATATGCACCAAACATGGGAGCACCCAACTATATAAAGCAAATCTTAATGGACATGAAAAATCTAATATCCAATACCACAATCTTAACGGGAGACATTAACACCCCCTTATCCCCAAAAGATAGATCAACCAGACAAAAACTTAGGAAGAAATAACAGAATGGAACCAGAGCTTGAAACAAACGGACTTGGTGGACATATACAGAGTGTTCCACCCAAACACAGCTGAATACACATTTTTCTTAGTTGCACATGGGTCATTTTCTAAAATACACCACATAATGGTCCACAGGTCATGTTTAAGTATATGTAAGAAAACAGAAATTATCCCATGCACATTATCTGACCACAGTGCAATGAAACTGGAAATAAATGACAAAAGAAACCAGA